ACCTGGCTTTGCTGAAGGGAAAGTAAAGCTGATCAAACCAACCTGTTACACTGACCCCTGCTGGAGAACTCAGGAACCCCACCCTGTCAGTCTCTGCCTTTGTGTCCTTGAGCAGGACTCTAACCTTCCTTTCCTGCTGGAGGTCAGAGGGCCTCTGGCACCGACTGCTGCAGCAGTTGGTTTGTCCCTGAAATGTAGCGAGCGAGAACTGGAAAGGTTAAGGTTGTAAGGTGGATCCAGACAACAGCGAGGGCCCCCAGGGGCCTCCATGGGGCCTTCAGAGAAATCTGATTTTTTTTTTTCTGCCAGTGAAAGCAATGATCAGATCATTAACTAATCATTTGCTGCACTAAAAGTAATAAAAGAGCTTTGATGGATTAAAATCAATTGTAGAATAACAGACATGATTAAATCAAATGGTAAAATCTGGCATGTTGTTAAATAATGGAAATAAATTCCCTGAACCCAGGTGGAAAATACGTTCAACAATTAATTATTAAAACAATGTAAACGTTTATAACTATATGCAAAAGCTGTATTTGAAAACATGAACTACCTTCACCTCCAGATTTGACCTTTTTAGATGACCTGTTCTTCCTGCTGATCTCTATTCCCTGGACTGCTAATTGGCCGTTGGTAGCACACGGTGCTGTGAAGCCACCAGCCGCCATATTGGTACTCCCTAATTAGACTGGTCACAATGTAAAACATATGTGTGCTACAGCATCGAAAAATGATGATGTTCTCATTTTCAGAGAACATCATCGTTGGAGAACTAATAAGAAGGAAGGGAGTGAATGAGGTCCTGTTTCAGGATGTCTCTTTCATCTTTTATTGTCATTTTGTATACACAAAGTGTATATGAAACAAACTTTCCTTTTATACATCTCTAATGACATTTCCATTCCATAAAGTTCAGCAGTGATCAAATGAAAATAGTGTGGGAGAAAAAAACATGGAGCAAAAAAACGCATTTGTCTGGAAGTTCAGAGCATTAATATATATGGTGCAAATATGCAGTGTAGTTGGTTTGGTGTCATCAGTGTGATGCAGAGTCTGACAGTTCATCAGTGTGATGGTGGTGGGGAAGAAGCTGCTGCAGAACCTGCTGGTCCTGCATTGAATGCTGTGAAGCCTCTTCCCAGAGGGCAGCAGGGAGAACAGTCCATGGTGGGGGGGTGAGGGGTCATTGATGATGTCACGGGACACGCAGCGCTGGGATGAAATGTCTTTAATGGAGGGAAGAGGAGCCCCCATGATTCTCTCTGCTGACCACCTCTACAGACATTT